CCTCCTCCTCCTCCTCCTCCTCCTCCTCTCTCTCTCTCTCTCTCTCTCTCTCTCTCTCTCTCTCTCTCTCTCTCTCTCTCTCTCTCTCTTCGCCTCTTCCATTTTTCTCTGTGAAGCGTGAACTACAACCGTTTCACTTAGAGCCCAGAGAGAGAGTGTAATAAAGCGCGGTTGAAAAGAACGGACCTAATGCGAGGATCGGGGGAATTCAAAGCTTTCGTGCGATGTGACCGGAACCGCAATTGCAGTCCGACATCGCGCGAGATGTCGCGTTCTCCGATTCGATCTTCGCATTGCGATTCCCGATTGCTTATCCGTCGCTCTTTAAATGCAAAAGACCGACGTGTTTATCTAATCAACATCGAATGTCGCAATTAACTTTGTAAAACGCTCTCTTTTTTTCAACTATTCGAACTTTGCGATATCGAATTTAGCAGTCAAGACTGAATTTCGGTGAATTATATTAAAAAAAAAAAATAAATAAATAAATACGAGTGAATAGTGCGCATTGTGAATGTATAAGTAGGAAAGTGTCATCTGCGTTTTTAGTGTCGAAAAAATTTGATATCGAAATGCATTCTGAGCGATGAGAAATGCTATCAAAGTATCGGAAGCGCTGATAAAATCGGCGGATTCCGCTGACAACTCGAGGCGGAGGTGACATAACGGCGACGACACGTTACGGCCGTGCGCGATAAGAGTGCTATAATAATCTTACGTAAAGCCGGAAGTGTATCATCGAGCGATGCCGATCGCGAGTCGCAAGCGAATTGCAAGCGGAAGCGCGTCTCCGCCCATGAAGGAGACAAACGCCGAATTAGCGCTGGGAATTGTGTTCCGCCGTGCACGCTCTGCAAAATGATTTCCTCCTTACGCGTTGTACGCACAATGACATTCGATACTAAAATCAATACGCCGTTAACGTCATCCGCCACGGCGGATATATTGAAATAGCATTCCCGTTTTCACAGTTGTCGTAACGTTTACGTGAATTCTTTTTTACAGACCAAGAGAGATTATATCTGTCTTTTAATTTGTATTATTCAAACAGCGCGAGTTAGATAACAGATAAAAGTGTTATCAACGTGCGACTTTCGAGAAAACGCGCGACAATACGATTCGTACATGTGGGAGGCGGCATGCAAAAGCATTGAATTTAAACATTCCACGGATCGGCAATTATCTATTATTTTTTATACGCGTGCGGGTAACTCTCGGAATGTGTACATAAATGCCTCCTGCCCGCCCCTGCCCCCTCCGGATATGTACACACGTTCGTAGACGCGCGGGTACCGACACGCACACGCGAGTGCCTTACGGAAAAATAACGGCTCGGGCGCGCATTGTTTTAATGAAAAACGATATCCACGCCGCGTTTCCTTCGTCTATCGTCGGTTATTTTCGAATCCCCCGCATGCTGAAAAACTCTCACGTATCGCCCATGCCCCTCGTCAATAACGCGGAAAATCCCGCGTGCATTTTTATAGATAAACAACCGACGTGACTTACCGCAGGCAGTTTCCGACTCTCGACATCGTCGAATCGCCGATTGTGCAACGGATTAACGCGAGAGGATATCGCGTTATCGCTTCCCCGCTTCTCGAAACAAATTAGGCTGCGATTATGGCAAACGGCACGCCGTGAACGAAAACTTAGTTGCGAATTCAACGGCGAAGTTGAAATTGATTGAATGTGTCCAAGTTGGCGCGAGTGACTTAAAGCGTCGGACGATTACGCTCGACGATTGTGTTTGATCTATCGATCTTGGTGTGTTCTAAAAGAATTGATGAATGCGAAGTTTATTCTCATGCGAGCAACCACATGAATGGATGATCACCTCCACGCGATTGGCATGACGAGATCTTACTCTGGGTCAACGTTTCTCCCCTTCGGCGGCGCGACATTTTTCAATGCCAAAAAGATCGCCGTTGAACGACCGCATTTGTTTATCCCTCATCAGCGTGCGTCGAAGGATCCTAAAATTGAATTCGCACGTAGGGGCGTAGGTGAATTCGCAGAAAGGTCCACTTTTCGACGTCGTCGGGGGAGAACCTCGCGGCACACCTAAGGGACGCCGAAAGCACTGCTCGAATAAAGAAAAGAAAAGAAACACTCTACTCTCCGAAGCGGGCAAAGTTCTCGTACGCGGCCCCGCGCACTTTGTAGCAAACCACCGTCGACGATTCGCACCCCCGACACGCACACGCTTCCCCGATTCGACGAATCCGAGCCCAAATTGAGTTCAACCCCGAGAATACGCATCCGTCTTTCCCATAATCGCGTTATTTAAGGATTTCGCGGCCCGAGTTGAGCGAGGGACGCGACGCGACTACGCCAGGTAGTCTCGAGGAAAGTAAACCACCCCGAGGAAAAGTAGGGTGGCTCGTCCGGCGGCGTGCTCGTACGCCGTACCCGCCCAACCACGAGACTCCGACGCGGAATCTCTCGATTCTCGCGGCGGAGACTCGAGATGCCGGGGCTGATAATCGCGCGGCAGAATAAAATGGAAGGGAAAAGAATAAGAGAGAGAGAGAGAGAGAGAGAGTAAGGAAATGAGATAGAGAAAGAAACAGCGAAAGAAAAACTGGAGAGAAAAAAGCCACCACCTTTTCTACACCCCCGAGCCATACTCGCCCGTGTCGAGTGCGTCACGCATCCTCTCGGTTGTTCCTGGTGCGAGGCGGCGACGGCGGCGACGGCGGCGATACGAGAACAAGGCGAGGCGATGTGTACGAATGCGTGAGGACGAAAGCCGATCCTCCCTCTCGTGCGAATGAACGAGCGAGCGAGCGAGCGACCACCCCTCGTCGGCGCGTTTCGTGGCGGCCGCCGCGGGATCTTCCTCTCTCGCGAGTCGCGCGCGTTGCGACAGAGCGCTCCGCTTTTCCGTCGTGCGTCCTCTCAGGGCGCGCGACACAGGGGTGTCCGTCGACAGGGAAAGGAGACTGCGCGCGGGGGTGGCGACAAGGGGATAAGAGAAGAGGCGTTCTCGCGCACTCACATGTTTGTTGTGTGCAATCGGCGCGCGTGCCCCGTATCACCGGCGAGGAGGTTCGTGCGAGGATGACCATCGGTCCAGGTGTGCGATCATCACGACGACGACGACGATGACGGCGGGGCGATGACGACGAGACGCCGCTGGCTGCTCTGCTCGCCGGCGTGACGATGCTCCCGAGAGGGATTGTTCCCGATGCTGCGGCTTCGTCGGCGAGACGATCTCGTGATTAGACTTGTCGCGAACCGGCTGATAGCGGTCAACGGCGAACAGTCGTGCGCATAATTAACATGGTGCGCTCGGGGCGGGACGCGGGATGCGCCCGTACACGCGGCCGAGCGTGCTCTGGATGAAACAGAGAAAGAGAAGGACGTTAGATGAGGGACGGTGAGACGGAAGGGTGGATGGCGGGGATGTGAGATACCGCGCGGTGGGATGAACAGGGAGAAAGAAGACGTAGATAGGAGAGGGTGCGCGTTAAACACAAGGGATGGTCCACGCGTAAATACGCGAGCTCGCCCGATGGTGCTGGCGCGAGATCGGAGTGAAGACTGGCCGCGTGATTGTAGTGGTGATGATGGTGGTAGGTAGAGAGCGCCTCTCGCCGGAGGGAGGTAAGTTTAACCCTCCTTCTCCTCCCTCCTCTCTCTCTCTCTCTCTCGGACGATTTTCCCCGACTGACTTGGCCAAGGGATGCGAGCAAGGGAGACGAAGATCGTAATGAAGAGGGAGAAAGCAGGAAAACTGTATAGAGGAACGAAGAGATGATGATCGGAGAGAACCAAAGGAGGGGGCGAGAGTGAGAGAGCGGGATTAGAAATATAAGGAGAAGTGGGGCGGCTCGGAGGAGGGAGGGAAACGAGTAATGTGCGCGTGTGAACGTATCTGAGCGCACGCTTGTGTGATTGCATGAGTAAGGGAGATGGAGGGAAATAGAGAGAAGGATAGAGTGAAAAAGAGAGAGAGAGATAGAGAGAGGGCACGACAAACGGCACTGCACTCCGACAACGTCCGCGCTGGGACCGCGAGGCGCACTAAGGGCGTGGGCAATACGCGAGCGAGCGTGCGAGCGAGCGAGCAGGCCGGTGCGAACGGCGACTACATTGATTTTGATTTTCGAAGGCGCGCGCACTCTTGCCGCTCTCTGGATCTGCCCATTCATGCCGCTCCCGCCTAGCCGTTGCGAGGACATTGGTCCTGTCCTTCCATGCGAAAGGCGAAGGGAAAGTCCTGCACGCAGCGTGATTTTAATCCTTAGACGCTTTATCCGCGCCTTTAAACATACGAATGCAATCGCGCGTTTGTCGATAATCAAATCATATTGTTGCGTGACTCAGAGATTTACAAGATATTATTATTATTATCGACGCATTATTATTATTATTATTAGCGTTGTGGAACACATTGTCGGTTCTTTTTGCGAGAAGACTGATTGCGTTATCGGCCGTTAGTTTTTTTTTTTTTTTTTTTTATTGTAGGAAATGGAACGTTTTAGTTCACAGCGACCATGCAGCTATAATTGGATTGGACAATCTAGCTAGCATCGTAATGCTGTGACTTGAAGGAGTAAGGCTCGATACATCGGTCGTTCCCGTACAGAAAGAACAGATTAGATTCACCATTCACACTATTCCATGATTTATTAGACATCTAGTAGATAAAGACGTACAAGCCACTTGTAGTGTTGCGCGATGTGTTGCGCAGCAGTATTTAATTTAAAGTCTTAAACACAAGGCGGTACCAAATATACGAAGAGAGAGAATAGAGTAAATCCTTACTGGACACGCTTCTTCCCCACCGCGTAGATTCGTCTATGCTTCTGCAGAAGTCAAGCACTCGCGCGATTGCGCTTGGTCACGCGCAATCGCCGCGATTGTTCTACTTAGCAATAAATAAATGTCCATTAGAGTGAATTTAGATCACATGAAGTATCCGAAGCCGAATGTGCGCTTTATGGGGTCCCAGTAATACCTGTCCCAATTCTCCTTCGTGGAGGCCTCCTCGCTGAAAATCGTCGACATTTACGTATCACGTGGTAGCCTTACTCGTCAACAATGCTGATACATGGTAAATCACCGCTCGCACTTACCTAAGTGGGACACCAGTTTGCGTTAAATTGACCTCGGTATGGTCGTTCTTCTCGTTGATATCGATCGTTACGTCGCTAAAGTGTCCAGATGGCCACTGTTTACAACGCCATTTCTGAACGATCTTTGTTGGCGCAATCTCCACGAATTCACCGTGAATATTGCCGCCAAACAGCTCGAACTGACCATTTTTCTTCGCTTCCAATTTTACCGGATTTTTCGTAAAGGCTTGTACCATCTATGAAAATTAGAAATATTGTCGCAATTAGCGATTCGGTCTATGTTAACGTGATAATATTTGAATGAAATTATTATACCTCAGTTGAGGAGAAAACGTTGTAAAATTCTTCTGCTCTGCATTGGAACTTTATCTGCTGCTTAATGGTAGTGGTTGAGATCTTACATTCTGCTGCTTTATTATTCGTTGGTGCTACTGTAGCATTCATTTGCATCTTGAGGGAAAATAAAACGTTGTTAATCATATTTTTTTATCCTTTTTTATCTCCAGATGTCTTACCTTAATATTGAAACCGGATGTTATATTCGAAATATTTTCCTTTACGTTGTCCTTCTTAGGAAGTATCATTCCTTTCGTAAATTCTGTAAACAAAAAAGAAACAAGCACATAATTATTACAACAAATTGTATTATTACACATCTCTTAAATAATGTTCAATTTATATTAAAGAATTGCTTTACCTTCCTTTAGGCAAGATACATATTTTATCAATTTTTCTCTCAGTATATCCTTTCCCTTTGTATGCAAAAATTGTTTTACATTCTCCCCTTCATCCGTACTATCTTTCAATGTAACTTCAATCTACAAATATGCATCAATCTAAACATTCATAAAAGAATTTAATAACAGATAATATAATTTGATCAAAGAATACTTACATCTACTTCACTGATGTCATTCTCTTCAGAAAGATTAGGGATATTAATCTTTCCCTCAATTTTTTTACTTGATTTATCGTTTGATGTCCATTTAAGCACGATATTCCATTCGTAAAAGAAAATAAGTTTGCCTTTTCTATTATTTGCTACCGCTTCACCTTCGCATTTTTCCATTTCTTCTATTTTACATGATACTACAAATTCAACAATATGTATAATAAAAAAGTATAAATATTACTTCAAATATGTAAATATATAGTACTAACTTCCATCTCCTTCAATTTTTAAATTTACCAATAATTCCTTTAGTTTTTCTTGTGACCATGCACAAGCATTCTTCTCCGTCCTGCAATAAAATTTTTATTTGAAAAAGTATTACATAAATACTATAAAACTTGACATCTGATCTAACCTAATATTTATATTTTAGAATCATATTGATGACTTAAAAATATTTTAGTTGCGACATTTGGCATGACTAAATTTATTAACATACCAGTGCCAATTATTAACATTGGTGGCATCAGGCCTCTCTTCCACAATCCAGCGTGGATCACCTTCGCCCCATTTTGCCATAGTTCCAGCTAGGTGACAGAGACACAGTAAGGAATGTCTTGCTCGCTAAATACACTAAAATTTGGAAATTTCGAACTCATAGTATTACAAGAAAAACAAATAGAATGACTTTCTAGAAAATTTTTTTTACTTATTGTTACATTATGGATATAACATAACCTATAGTGTAAAAGGTAACAAAACAATTGTAAACGCTTTTTACATCGACGAGTAAATTTCGCAAATAAAAATTCATCAAAATTTCTAGCATGCATAGATTACTTACGCGAATTGTGTTCGGGAGTATGGTTAGAAAAACGCTTCGAGTTGCGTTTTCGCTTGACAGTTCTCGTTTGTAGAAACGTTTCGATACCTAACCGTCTCGTTCGTGTTGTAAGACGACACGAGAGAGTTTATCAAACGATAGTGACAGAACGCACTGTCAACAATGATCTAATATAATACTACTGCGTTCGCAAGGATTGCTCCAAAATCTCGCAACTACCAACAGGCGAACTCAGCATGCGAGCTTCTTGAGCATTCTGGAAACTTCAGGCATTGAGTGTAATAATCTCAAGATGGGCCACTCACATGTTTCTGTTCGAAGCTTTGGTGAAATTTGTCCGCAATATATTATTATATTAAAAAGTTGCTTGAACAATTAATACCAAAATTTATTAATAATAATTTGTTAAAAATTTATCTTATCGTCCAGATTTTCGGCATTTTTTACATCATAAACGACGTCATTGTCGTATGTGAATACATCACATACGACAAAGATAGATTATGCAATACTAGATCCAGGTGATTCAGAGACGATAACTCTATCTCACTTTATTCTTCATGCTTTATCCGTGGATTTATTTATTTCTGCTTAGCAAACCTTTAATTGGCGAAAGTAATCTAGAAATAAAGTCTACAATGTTAGTAATATAAACACATGCATTTAAAACTTATAGATTACCAAATACCGAAGAGAAAAAACGAAGGAGTTCCGTTATTTTTCACATATTATTTTTATTACATATTACAAATAAAATTATAGTTGCCACTGTCACGGCAAATATCTCTTATCAAATATCTCTTTTATTTTCCGAACTAAAAATCATCCAAATCGTCTGCGATATTATTCCGTTGATCGCAATTATTTAATAAAGCTCGAATGTTCGTACTCTAACATTCGAGAATTCCAATAATGATTATTGGATCGTTCTCATGTTTAAAAAAAATACTTTTTAAATGATACCTAATCCTTCTAAAGTGTTAAGAATCGGCCCTCCATCGTGAGAAAGTTAAGGTTCTAATATCTGTAGCCCTCCTCTTGTGCAGGTCCTGCTGGTCCTGGCGCAGGATAACTGGCGGTTCCCTCGTACCGCACCATCGGCCGATATCCGTCTTGATCGGCGACGTAGTCAACGATCTGGGTCCTGCCGTCCGGTAACAATACGTGGTAAGTCCCGGTAGCCTCCATATCCTTTCTCATCTCGCGATGGCCAAAATCCAGACCCGCTGCCGCGTCCTGAACCTCGTACGAGAACTCGTAGTTCGCCGGATCCTAATGAAAATTTCAGTTTTAGAAAAATCAACTCGCATGAGTAAAAGAAATGTTACAAAAATACTTTGAAAAATATTCGTGAAATAAAAAGTGTGTCGTTAAATATTTGACAATAAAATAATCTAAATATTCTGAATAGAGAAAAATGTGAGTTTTGTTGAATAATTCTCTTTTTGTTGAAGATATATAATACATACTTACACCGGCCCATTCATCCGGATGACCTCCACCTCCACCTCCACCTCCACCAGCAGGTCGAGAACTAGGTGGAAGATAGGCTGGACCTTGCGGTTCGTTTCGAACTCCTACCAAGACCATCGCTAATAGTATCGCCTGTTCGAAAGAAAACATGTTGTATACATAAAAAAAAGCCTTTAACGCTTTATAATGTAAAAATATTTGACACTACATTCAAGAATAATATTCAATTTAACATAAAAGAGCATGCGATAAAATGAACGAGTGAAAATTTACGTCTTACTTTAATATGTGCAAAGTTAATTAATTTGCCATGCACTAAAGCCAACTTTTGTAATTTTATCTTGTTCGCTGAATTTTATATAAAATTGTTAACAAAATGTAATAAATTCTATGTTAATAAATACTAACCTTCCGAATCATTAGCAATTTGGTCGAATTCTACAAGCGTTCGCAAAACTGAGGTGGCTCATCGCAACAGTCGGGTTTTATAGCGACCAATTCGATTGTGACGGGATGGAGATGGAAGATGCAATAGTTGCTCGAGGGAGCTTTAATGCGATCTCGCATAATAGTAATTATGGCCCATAACAAAACCGCAGATTTCTGGCGGTACGCGCGGCTCTAATAATTCATTCGGCATAATCGCAACAGTTCCTGATACTATGCAACATTATTATCGTATCGAGATATGACATCGTGTTTCTTTAAATTACAATAAAATTTTAGATTAATTTGATAATTAGAGATAATTACGAAATAATTACGCGCGTAATATGCGTGTGATTTGAATCACAATTCCAACTTATCAAAAAATTAAATTTTAGATTATTATGATTATAATATAATTATATAATAAGATTTGCTTATTATTTCAAATTTTTTAATTACACATTTAGATAATTTTAAATTAATAATATATTGTGATAGTTTGTTAAATTCGACTTGGAAATTATGTTTGGCAATGTGCCACGACTGATTCGTTAGTGAATTTGTTAGATTGAGACTACCATATAATTTGCCTTACCCAACAGATAACAATAAGTTGAATTAATAGTTCTCCTTTCAATTGCGTCATCGAAATTTTTCATTCTCATGGACAGATTTGCGGCAAACCTTAAATGAAGTGTCGCAAGATATCATAATGATGGATATTGGATTCTGCAATAAACAATAAACGATTTACGATCTATAAGACCGTCTTTTTGCTCATCTTAATTTATGTTAATTTGAACAAGGAATATGTCAGATTAAATACATATTTTAACTCATAACAGAGCAAGTCTTTACTAATTAAAATTGTAAATTAGCAATTAAAAGTAATTATTGCAATGTAATATATTTAATTGCTTAATGATAACTTCAAATATTATATTAATTAATATAAATGCATAGTTAATTTTTAAGATTGTTGTCAAATAGTATCATAATTTAAAAAATTACACAAATAAATATTCATAGATACATCTTAAATATCATTGCAAAGTTTTTATATTTATACAAAAAATTAATTATGTTGAAAAAGTAAAAAACATTATTTAGTTAACAATTTTGGTAATTGTTTACTATCACTGCCTCACCTCCGATTTTGATCCAATTAGGCTCTTTCGACGCGTTTTTTTTTTTAAAAAAACTTTTTCCTCTCGCAAAATTGTCGCTCTCCTCCGCGAGACGAGATATTTAGCGTCAAAGTTGACGACTTTCCAGGTTAAGAAACCTGTCACTTCGATGAAATGGATATGTGCTGCGGTCACGCGCGCATGCGTACTAATAGGATTGTGCACGAAATATAAAATATATTTTCGATAATCATTAATTGTAAATTGCAAACCCACGTTAAGTAGTATAATTATGAACTTTGCTTTGCGTAGACACAGGGTATTCCGCCCCCCTCCGGGGGGGCGGACCCCCTGTGTAAAATAAAAATAATAAAACTTTCGTGCGTATTCCAGAGCGGCATAGATTGCTTGATCTATCAAACTAGCTTTAGCATTATATATTTTTGTACAATCTAATAGCGTTTTCGAATAAACGGGGTTTGAACGATCTAGGGTTGATCAATTACTATTTTACTATAAATGCAAGTCTTTCATTGGTGGAGAGGTTGCAATGACGTCATTAACCAATCTTGGGTCGTTCAAATCCTGTATAATCGAAAACGCTATAAAGCTACTTTAATGCTAAAACTAGTTTAGATTGCACAAAAATATATAATGTTAAAGCTAGTTTGATAGATCAAGCAATCTATGCCGCTCTGGAATACGCACGAAAGTTTATTATTTTTATTTTACTACAGGGGGTCCGCCCCCCCGGAGGGGGGGCGGAATACCCTGTGTCTACGCAAAGCAAGGTTCATAATTATACTACTTAACGTGGGTTTGCGACTTACAATTAATGATTATCGAAAATATTTGTATTTCGTGCACAATTCTATTAGTACGCATGCGCGCGTGACCGCAGCACATACTCATGTTGCTGCAATTCGTCGAAGTGACAGGTTTCTTAACCTGGAAAGTCGTCAACTTTGACGCTAAATATCTCGTCTCGCGGAGGAGAGCGACAATTTTGCGAGAGGAAAAATTAAAAAAAAAAAAAACGCGTCGAAAGAGCCTAATTGCATCAAAATCGGAGGTGAGGCAGTGATAGTAAACAATTACCAAAACAGCTAACTAACAAAATAACTACACATTGAAAACAATATAATAATCATTAAAAAATTTGGGTGCAGTTCCGAATAGGTAAAACGCCCGATTGTT